AACAGACTGTCGGGGCAAGTGCTGTTCGTAGCGAGTAGCAGCAGCAGCGCCTATGAAGGAGACAAAGACAAAGATCCCCCGTGCAGCCTCTAACAGACTGTCAGGGCAAGTGCTGTTCGTAGCGAGTAGCAGCAGCAGCAGCACCTATGAAGCCCGGGACCGTGGCAAACGAGGGGGTGTGTAGTGGACAGCATCACGCCTGCCCGGCCGCCTTTGTCTCCCCAGTGGCGATGTTTATGCATCGCACCACCAGGAATCATGTTGAGGCTGAGTCTACCTAGGGGAGGCCTGGGACCGGTTCAGATAATCGTCACTGGTGGTGGCCGTGAGCGGGAATTGAACCCGGGTCACCACTTCATCAGCAGCCTCATTAAATAATTTTCATCATCATCATCACGTGTGGTGTCCTTCCCCCGCACCCCCAACTAGCAAGGTTAGCTATGTGCGGTGCGAAAGAATTTCAACATACGGTACATATACACTACCCATAGACTAACACTGCCCATAGACTAACACTACCCATAGACTAACATTGCCCATAGACTAACACTGCACCATAGACTAACATTGCCCATAGACTAACATTGCCCATAGACTAACATTGCCCATAGACTAACACTGCACCATAGACTAACATTGCCCATAGACTAACATTGCCCATAGACTAACATTGCCCATAAACTAACATTGCCCATAGACTAACACTGCCCATAGACTAACATTGCCCATAGACTAACACTGCCCATAGAGTAACATTGCCCATAGACTAACATTACCCATAGACTAACAGTACCCATAGACTAACATTGCCTATAGACTAACATTGCCCATAGACTAACATTACCCATAGACTAACATTGCCCATAGACTAACACTGACCATAGAGTAACATTGCCCATAGACTAACATTGCCCATAGACTAACACTACCCATAGACTAACATTGCCCATAGACTAACATTGCCCATAGACTAACAGTACCCATAGACTAACATTGCCCATAGACTAACATTACCCATAGACTAACATTGCCCATAGACTAACACTGCCCATAGACTAACATTGCCCATAGACTAACATTGCCCATAGGCTAACAGTACCCATAGACTAACATTGCCCATAGACTAACATTACCCATAGACTAACATTGCCCATAGACTAACACTGCCCATAGACTAACATTGCCCATAGACTAACATTGCCCATAGGCTAACACTGCCCATAGACTAACATTACCCATAGACTAACACTGCCCATAGACTAACATTGCCCATAGACTAACACTGCCCATAGACTAACATTGCCCATAGACTAACACTGCCCATAGAGTAACATTGCCCATAGACTAACATTACCCATAGACTAACAGTACCCATAGACTAACATTACCCATAGACTAACATTGCCCATAGACTAACATTACCCATAGACTAACATTGCCCATAGACTAACACTGCCCATAGAGTAACATTGCCCATAGACTAACATTGCCCATAGACTAACACTACCCATAGACTAACATTGCCCATAGACTAACATTGCCCATAGACTAACAGTACCCATAGACTAACATTGCCCATAGACTAACATTACCCATAGACTAACATTGCCCATAGACTAACATTGCCCATAGAGTAACACTGCCCATAGACTAACACTGCCCACGTGTCTCCTATATCCTTGTGTGTGTACACATGAATACAATGGCGTCACGCTCGGGATCGCATCCTCCACCTCCTGTAGACCAGGCGAGGTAGTTAACATTTCAGAGCCAACGTGGCGGTCTGAAAAGAATCTGCCCGAGCCGGCTTACGCTCCGGGCAGTTTATTATTAAACACTGATTGATATTCCTGAGGATATTATTTGTATTTCTCGCGTGATGTCACAGCTGTGGTGTTGTTTTTGGATCAGTGACGCATGGTCTCTCGCGCGAATGAGATGATATCCTTTGGCCCCCGGAGTTCTCACCCTGAACAACTCACTCACTCACTAACTTAGTAACTCACTCACTAATTCACTCACTCACTCACTAGCTCACTCACTAACTAACTCATCACTACACTAACTCACTCACTAACTCACTCAATCACTAACTCACTCACTAACTCACTCACTCACCCACCCACCATCTCACTCATTCACTCATCCACCATCTCACTGACCCACTCACCCACTCGTTCACTCACTCACCCACTCGTTCACTCACTCACCCACTCGTTCACTCACTCACCCACTCGTTCACTCACTCACCCACTCACCCACTCGTTCACCCACTCACCCACTCACCCACTCAGACATCATCCCACTCACCCACTCGTTTACTCACTCACCCACTCGTTCACTCACTCACCCACTCGTTCACCCACTCACCCACTCGTTCACCCACTCACCCACTCAGACATCATCCCACTCACCCACTCGTTCACTCACTCACCCACTCAAACATCATCCCACGAACCCACTCAATTATTTACTCACCAACCCTCTCACTCGATGTGCGTATTTGTCCTCTCTGTGAGTCTATGTGTCTCTTGTGAGTCTTTGGGTCGATACCCGAGTCTATGGGTCTCTGTGAGTCTATGGGTCTCTGTGTGAGTCATGTGAGTCTATGGGTCTCTGTGTGTGTCCCGTGAGTATATGGGTCTCTGCGTGAGTCCCATGAGTCTATGGGTCTCTGTGTGTGTCCTGTGAGTCTATGGGTCTCTGTGTGAGTCTGTGCGTCTCTGTGTGAGTCTATGGGTCTCTGTGTGAGTCTATGGGTCTCTGGATGAGTCTATGGGTCTCTGTGTGAGTCTATGGGTCTCTGTGTGAGTCTATAGGTCTCTGTGTGAGTCTATGGGTCTCTGTGTGAGTCCATGGGTCTATGGGTCTCTGTGTGAGTCTATGGGTCTGTGTGTGAGTCATGTGAGTCTATGGGTCTCTGTGTGAGTCTATGGGTCCCTGTGTGAGTCTATGGTGGGTCTATGGGTCTCTGTGTGAGTCTATGGATCTCTGTGTGTGTCCTGTGAGTCTTTGGGTCTCTGTGTGAGTCTATGGTGGGTCTATGGGTCTCTGTGTGAGTCTATGGGTCTCTGTGTGAGTTTATGGGTCTCTGTGTGTGTCCTGTGAGTCTATGGGTCTCTGTGTGAGTCTATGGGTCTCTGTGTGTGTCCTGTGAGTCTATGGGTCTCTGTGTGAGTCCATGAGTCTCTGTGTGAGTCTCTGGGTCTCTGTGTGAGTCTCTGTGTGAGTCGTCAGTGGACCGTGCTGAGACTATCACTTCAAACGAAAACAAATGTTCTCGAAGGAACTAGTTCCCATTAATTATTTTTTTAAACTCGTAGCTCCGTGAATTTTTTTGTAAAATAATAATAATAATTGTCCCGCTCACACATTAACCCCCCACCCACAACACTCCAGGTGAGAGTTTCTCTGCGTGACCCGTGAACCGAGTCACTCCCCGGGCGCGGAGCGATACGGCTACCGGGCACAGCTGCGTCGCAGGGGGTCACCGCGCGGTGAGTAGCGGCGGCCTCATCACCGCCGACAACCGCCGCTGCCGCTGCTGCTCCGCGTGGGACTCGATTACACCACGTGACCCGTATCGGCAGTTCCGCAGGCTCATTATGGCCATGCCGAGCGATCACTTAGCCGCGGTGAGGGGTAACGGGGGTGAGGGGTAGGGGGGGGTGGGGGGGGTGGGGGGGGTAGGGGGGGGGTGGGGGGGGTAGGGGGGGGTGGGGGGGTAAGGGGGGGTGGGGGGGTAGGGGGGGGTGGGGGGGTAAGGGGGGGGTGGGGGGGTAAGGGGGGGTGGGGGGGGTAGGGGGGGTTGAGGGGTAGGGGGGGTGAGGGGTAGGGGGGGTGAGGGGTAGGGGGGGTGGTAGGGGGGGTGGGGGTGGGGGGGGGTGGGGGGGTAGGGGGGGTTGAGGGGTAGGGGGGGGTTGAGGGGTAGGGGGGGTGAGGGGTAGGGGGGGGTGAGGGGTAGGGGGGGTGAGGGGTAGGGGGGGGTGAGGGGTAGGGGGGGTGAGGGGTGGGGGGGGGGGTGGGGGGGTAGGGGGGGTTGAGGGGTAGGGGGGGTTGAGGGGTAGGGGGGGTGAGGGGTAGGGGGGGGTGAGGGGTAGGGGGGGTGAGGGGTAGGGGGGGGTGAGGGGTAGGGGGGGTAGGGGGGGTTGAGGGGTAGGGGGGGTGAGGGGTAGGGGGGGTGAGGGGTAGGGGGGGTGAGGGGTAGGGGGGGTGAGGGTGAGGGGTAGGGGGGGTGTGAGGGGTATGGGGGGGTGAGGGGTTACGGGGGGTGAGGGGTAGGGGGGGAGCGGTGAGGGGGGGGATAAGGAAATGGTCAATGAACGGGGGGGGAGGATGGTGGGGGGGTAAGAGAAGTGTGGTGAGAGTGAGGTTAGGCAACATGGTGAGGTGAGGGGATGGGAAGGAGTAGTGAGGTGAGGGAAGTTGATGAGGTGAGCGAAGGTGGTGAGGAGAGGAGAGGGTGGTGAGGGAGCGTGATAGTGTTGGTGAGAGGAGGTGGGTTGAGGTGAGGGAAGTTGGTGAGGTGAAGGGATGATGGTGAGGAGAGGAGAGGGTGAATTGAGGTGAGGGGAGGTGGTGAGATGAGGGGTTGATGGTGAGGGGCGGTGAATGCGGGATGATCGAAGGGGTGAGGTGCGAGAAGGAATTGAGGAAGGGAGCGGGAGGGCGGAGGGCGGGGCAGCGGGGGGTGGAGGGTGAGTGGAGGGTGAGTGGAGGGGGTGAGGGGGGAGGGTGGAGGGTGAGGGGCGGGTGAGTGGAGGGGATGAGGGGGGAGGGTGGAGGGTGAGGGGCGGGTGAGTGGAGGGTGAGTGGAGGGGGTGAGGGGGGAGGGTGGAGGGTGAGGGGCGGGTGAGTGGAGGGGGTGAGGGGGGAGGGTGGAGGGTGAGTGGCGGGTGAGTGGAGGGTGAGTGGAGGGGGTGAGGGGGGAGGGTGGAGGGTGAGGGGCGGGTGAGTGAGTGGAGGGGTGAGGGGGGCGGGGGATGCTGGGTTGGGTCACCCCCGGTGTGTGTGGCTCTGGGAGTGTTTTTGGGGTTCCTCCATTCGCACGCCGCGGCTGCGATGCGGGGTCCAGGGACCACGCGGCCCCTCACTTGAGTTCCTCACCCGAGTTCCTCACCAGAGTCACTCACCCGAGTCACTCACCCGAGTCACTCACCCGAGTCACTCACCCGAGTCACTCACCCGAGTCCCTCACCCGAGTCACTCATCCGCTGAGGTCTGACACGAGGCCGTACACGGGCAGGAGGAGCTGGGTGCACGGCTCGCTATCAACATCGGGGTGAGTGAGCGCTTGAGTGTCCGGTGAGTGAGTGAGTGGTGAGTCCAGCTAGTGGGTGGTGGGTGAGTGGGTGAGTGAGTGGGTGAGTGGTGAGTGAGTGGGTGAGTGAGTGAGTGAGTGGGGGAGTGAGTGAGTGAGTGGGTGAGTGGTGAGTGAGTGGGTGAGTGAGTGAGTGGGTGAGTGGGCGAGTGAGTGGGTGAGTGAGTGGTGAGTCCAGCTAGTGGGGGGTGAGTGGATGGTGAGTGAGTGAGTGGGTGAGTGAGTGGTGAGTGAGTGGTGAGTCCAGCTAGTGGGGGGTGTCTGGTGAGTGGGTGGGGAGTGAGTGGTGAGTTGAGAGGTGAGTTGAGAGGTGAGTGAGTGAGTGGTGAGTGAGTGAATGGTGAGTCCAGCTCGTGGGTGGTGAGTGTCTGGTGAGTGGGTGGTGAGTGAGTGAGTGGTGAATGGTGAGTGTCTGGTGAGTGAGTGGTGAGTTGAGAGATGAGTGAGTGGTGAGTGAGTGAGTAGTGAGTTAGTAGTGAGTTGAGAGGTGAGTGAGTGAGTGAGTGGTGAGTGAGTGGTGAGTGAGTGAGTGAGTGGTGAGTTGAGAGGTGAGTGTCGCGCGCGTGGTGAGTAGTGAATTATGTCAAGCGAGGAGATAATAAAACTCACCATCATCACTAGACGAGATGATCCATCACCATCATCACTAGACGAGATGATCCATCACCACCATCATCACTAGACGAGATGATCCATCACCATCATCACTAGACGAGATGATCCATCACCACCATCATCACGAGACGAGATGATCCATCACCACCATCATCACTAGACGAGATGATCCATCACCACCATCACTAGACGAGATGATCCATCATCACCACCATCACTAGACGAGATGATCCATCACCACCATCACTAGACGAGATTGTCCATCATCATCATTATTAGCCGAGATGATCCATCATCACCATCATCACTAGACGAGATGATCCATCATCACCACCATCACTAGACGAGATGATCCATCATCACCATCATCACTAGACGAGATGATCCATCATCACCATCATCACTAGACGAGGTGATCCATCATCACCATCATCACTAGACGAGGTGATCCATCATCACCATCATCACTAGACGAGGTGATCATCATCACTAGACGAGGTGATCCATCATCACCATCATCACTAGACGAGATGATCCATCACCACCATCATCACTAGACGAGATGATCCATCATCACCATCATCACTAGACGAGGTGATCCATCATCACCATCATCACTAGACGAGATGATCCATCATCACCATCATCACTAGACGAGATGATCCATCACCACCATCATCACTAGACGAGATGATCCATTACCACCATCATCACTAGACGAGATGATCCATCATCACCACCATCACTAGACGAGATGATCCATCACCACCATCATCACTAGACGAGATGATCCATTACCACCATCATCACTAGACGAGATGATCCATCATCACCACCATCACTAGACGAGATGATCCATCATCACCATAATCACTAGACGAGATGATCCATCATCACCACCATCACTAGACGAGATGATCCATCATCACCATCATCACTAGACGAGATGATCCATCACCATCATCACTAGACGAGATGATCCATCATCACCATCATCACTAGACGAGATGATCCATCACCATCATCACTAGACGAGATGATCCATCATCACCATCATCACTAGACGAGATGATCCATCATCACCACCATCACTAGACGAGATGATCCATCATCACCACCATCACTAGACGAGATGATCCATCATCACCATCATCACTAGACGAGATGATCCATCACCATCATCACTAGACGAGATGATCCATCATCACCATCATCACTAGACGAGATGATCCATCACCATCATCACTAGACGAGATGATCCATCATCACCATCATCACTAGACGAGATGATCCATCATCACCATCATCACTAGACGAGATGATCCATCATCACCATCATCACTAGACGAGATGATCCATCATCACCATCATCACTAGACGAGATGATCCATCATCACCATCATCACTAGACGAGATGATCCATCACCACCATCATCACTAGACGAGGTGATCCATCATCATCATCACTAGACGAGATGATCCATCATCACCATCATCACTAGACGAGATGATCCATCATCACCATCATCACTAGACGAGATGATCCATCATCACCATCATCACTAGATGAGATGATCCATCACCATCATCACTAGACGAGGTGATGATGGTGGTGTTGTGGTGGTGATGAGGTGAGTGGTGGTGTTGTGGTGATGGTGATGTGGTGATGATGGTGGTGTTGTGATGATAATGGCGATGTCGTGGTGATGATGATGATTGTGGTTTTGTGGTGATGATGATGTGAGTGGTGGTGTTGTAGTGATGATGATGTGGTGATGATAGTGGTGTTGTGGTGATGATAGTGGTGTTGTGGTGATGATGAGGTGAGTGGTGGTGTTGTGGTGATGATGAGGTGAGTGGTGGTGTTGTGGTGATGATGAGGTGAGTGGTGGTGTTGTGGTGATGTTGTGGTGGTGTTGTAGTGGTGTTGTAGTGATGGTGGTGATGATGGTGATGTTGTGGTGATGGCGATGTCGTGATGATGATCACGGAGGAGTGGAGATGATGCGGGGGAGGAGGTGGTGCTGGTGGTGGTGATGGGGGTGGGGAGGGGGTGATGGTAGTGGTGCTAATGGGTCTCATTAGCCACATGAGCTCGATGCTGTTAACAATCTGTGAGCTCATAGCGACGTCTGATCACGATAAGGACTGCGTGGGATAATGAGTGCGCGCGTGTGTGAGCGTGTGTGTGAGTGTGTAAACATGAGCACCGGGGAGACAAAGGCGGCCGGGTGCTGGCCACTCACACCCCACTCGTGTCCCGTTTCCGGCCTTCGTAGGTGCTTACTCACTAACAGCACTTGCCCCAACAGTCTGTTAAGGCTACACGGGGGATCTTTGTCTGTGTGTGTAGAGCCGACCGAGTTTACGAGTCGCATAGATCGATAGACTGGCCCTGGGGAGACAAAGGCGGCCGGGCGTGGTGCTGGCCACACACCCCCCCCCCCCACCTCCCCCCACCTCGCTCGCGGTTCCAGCCTTAATAGGAGCTCGCTAACATCACTTCCCCCAACAGCCTGTGTAGCCTATACGGGGAAACTTTATCTTTGTGTGAGTGTGTCAAGTCGACTCAGCCTCAAATGAGTACCCGGTGGGGTGTGTTTGAAACATCGCCACTGGGGAGACAAAGGCGGCCGGGCGTGGTGCTGGCCACCCACCCCCTCGTGTGTCACAGTGCCGGCAGCCTTCATAGGTGCTCGCTAACAGCACTTGCCCCATCAGTCCGTTGAGGCCATACGGGGGGGGGGTGGTCTTCATCTTTGAGTCGACCTCGAGGATGTGTGTAAGCATCTGCCCTGGGGAGACAAAGGCGGCCGGGCGCGCCGTCGGCTACAACATCGCCGGCCTTAATAGGTGCTCGCTAACAGCACTCGCACCGGCCAAGGCCACCCCGGGGCATCTTTGGTGTTTGTCTTCGTGCGTGCGAGCGCATCAACAAATAAACTCGTTTTTTTAAGTTTTGTTTTATATATAAAACAACGGGTTGATTTTAAAGTGCACTCAAAAGTAAATAAGTCGGTGGGACAAGGGGGAGTGGGACGGCGTCTTGATCGCGAGAGACACGCGCGGCGCCTGCTTCTTGGTCGAGGCGAACCCACAGTTTTAGGGACGGCGGCGTTTTTTTTAACCTCGCCAAATAAATATTTCATTAATCAACCGTTCATTGCTTTAAAAGAGCCAATCGATTGATTATTCGATGCCGATTTTGATGCAGGCATGCATTGCCGCCGGATGTGAGCGCGTGTGCAAAATGTGGAATCGATTGGACAGCGGGAAGTGGACGAAATGTTGATGACAACATTTGACCACGACACACATCGGAGTCGAGAGAAGCGAAACCACCGTCGTCGCCTCAACCCGGAGCAGCGTGGCACTCCAGCAGACAAACTCCTTCGAGAGACAACGACGCGTCGAGATGAGAGACCGAGCCCGTCACTCACAACTCAGGCGCGCTCCACCGCGCAAGAAATCAGATCGGAGACAACCGAATTGGAATCGGCGCCCGACAAACAACCGCCTTGCAGGAGCACGTGCGAATGGCACCGAACTTGAACGACGTTACATCTATATATATAAAATCGTTCATGTCTGTCTGTCTGTGTGTGTGTGGACTTTGGCCCATACGCACTTTCATTGGACGGCGGTTGCCCCTGGCAACGGCTAGCCACGCCTTCGCCGCTTTCATTGGACCTGGCAACGGCTAGCCACGCCTTCGCCAAGGGCTGCAGTTTCATTGGACGGCGGTTGCCCCTGCCAACGGCTAGCTACGCCTTCGCCACTTTCATAAGCTCCGTATTTAATTAAATAATAGCCATTACACAGTATTGTTGGAGCGCTAGGGGGGGGGAGGAACGCCACCCGTACCCTGCCTCTTCCAAGCCGACAATTTTAGGCGAGGCCGCAGGCTTTGCACGCTACTAGGCCTCGACACCCACCACGCCACTCTGAGGTAAATTCATCAAAGTTTTTCCTACTCTTCACTACACCCCCACCACAATGTGTGCTATTAATATTACTTTTAAACCCAACGCGCCAACAATCGATTACTTTAATGTTCACTGTACAAATACTCATTAAGCTGGGTGAGCGTACTGCCAGTCTATCATGTACACTGTAGCCTGCTTATTAAGCTCGGTGAGCGTACTGCCACTCTATCATGTACACTCTAGCCTGCTTATGAAGCTGAGTGCGTGTACTGGCAGTCTATAATGTGGACTCTTGCCTGGTTATTATAATCGATTCTTTATATGTTCTTTGTACAAACAGTCATTAAGCTGCTTGAGCGACCCCAGTTCGATTCCAACTCACGCCCACCACCGCTGACGATTATTTGAAACGGACCTGGC